CCATAGACTTTTCAGAGCTGTGTTTATAAATTATATCCATCCAATCAATGGAGAGGGCACTCTCGCCACTTGCGGTAACTGGATTTGTAATGCTAGGAGTGCCTTGTGTTGGAGATGCCTACACCTCCCACTCTCAATGTTGTTGGTTCTTTGGAAAATCCTTTCATTGTTGATGACAAGACTCTTGTTGGGGATGGCCACGAAAACATTGATACTCTCGCTGTTCATGGCAATCCCAAGCCCTCTCGAAGCCATCAACTATGGCAGAACGTAGATTTTTAACAGAACATTGAATCCACGTAGCTTGTTGTACCCGGTTATTGGAGGCGACCCTCACTGCCCTCATGCGCCGCAACGCCCTGCAGCTACCTCAGTCATGCCTTCTTGACGGGCCACTTGCAGGTCATCATCTAGCTGTAGTCAACAGGTTCATAGTATTGCTTAAGGTGCTTGTCCAGTGCGCCGCAATCAATCTCTGGGTACCAGTTTGGCCAAGTCATGGTGAGTGTCTTCCTTGTGTGTGTCACACAGCAGACCATGTGCAGTGTGCAGTGTGTTGAGACAAAAGCGCTTCCCAACGCTGCGCCCGCAATGAAACTCATCGGCGAAACTGAAATTCTTCTGTTTCCCTCACAGATGTATTTCCCAACATCTTCGGTATTCGGGTTCACCACAGAAAGCAGCTTCGTTCGAAATGGTCTAATGGATCTACTAAGGTTTTATTCTATAGTCATGTGACCGTATCTTACTCCTAACTGCCTAATTGGGATTAGTCTAGTTAACTAGTTAACTACTAGTTAGTTACTAGTTACTAGCTCCATCCATGGACCATGGGGCTCATGGGCAACTAACCACATCTCAACAATATGAATGTACATACCTAGTGGTTATAGATTCAACAAACATGCCCTTGACGCAGTAGGCCCGGATTTGGGGTGAAGGCGACACATATTCTAGTCACCCGAATACCCAACAACTAAACTCAACATTTCCATCATTCAGCTGCAAGGACCGCCATAATTCCAGAGAGCCCGAGACTAACCCGTGCTATTCAAGTCCAGCTTCGCTCCTATTCAATGCAGATGGACAAAGCTGAGTCGCAATCATTTCCAGCCAACCGCGTGCAAAATCTCCTTGTCACAAAGCGACCAGCTTCTGAAGGACAGAATACTGCATCTGATAACAAAAGAATCAAAAGATTTCATGATGGGCTGATGGAAAAGGATGTTCAATCTTCAACTACAACCCGGAGGATTCCTTTCCCAGAGAAAGTATGCTAGTATCTTTGAATGCTAGGAACCGTTCTAACTGTTCTCAAAGCCTGCAGTTGTAGAAGAAAGAAATGGCGAGATTCAACTCCGAGTTGTCAACAATGATGGCACCAGGGAGAGTTGGATTATTCTCACTGGCCTCAAATGCCTGTTTCAAAAGCAACTTCCGAAAATGCCCAAAGATTACATCGCACGTCTTGTCTATGATCGCAGTCATTTGTCTATCGCCATCATCAAAATGCCTCTGGAGGTCATTGGCGGAATATCGTTCCGAGAATTCCGAGGCCGCGGGTTTGCTGAAATTGTTTTTTGCGCCGTCTCATCTGATCAACAGGTGAAAGGATACGGAGCACATCTTATGGCCCATTTGAAGGATTATGTCCGAGCTACTTCACCGGTGATGCATTTTCTAACGTACGCCGATAACTACGCCACCGGGTATTTTCAAAAACAGGGTTTTACCAAAGAGATCACTCTCGAAAAGTCTGTCTGGATGGGGTATATCAAAGATTACGAAGGAGGGACACTCATGCAATGCTCCATGCTTCCTCGAATACGTTATCTCGAAGTTGGCCGGATGCTTCTCAAGCAGAAGGAAACGGTACGAGCCAAAAGTCGTCTCTTGAGCAAAAGCCACATCATCCATCAACCGCCTCAACAATGGGCCAACGGCGTTGTCACTCCAATCGATCCACTCTCTATCCCGGCCATTCGGGCAACTGGTTGGTCTCCAGACATGGACGCATTAGCACGGGAGCCACGCCATGGACCTCATTTCAACGAACTTCGACGTTTTCTGTATCAAATCCAAAGCCACAAACAAGCATGGCCCTTCCTCAATCCGGTCAATAAAGATGATGTCCCTGATTATTACAATGTCATTACATCGCCAATGGATCTGTCGACTGTGGAAGATAGATTGGAGCATGATTTTTATACTGCCCCGAAAGACCTTGTCAGCGATCTCAAGTTGATTTTTAGCAATTGCCGGCAGTATAATGACGCAACAACAGTATACTCCAAGTGTGCGGTCAAGCTGGAGAAGTATATGTGGAGTCTCATTAAGGAGATTCCGGAGTGGTTTGACTTACTTGAAGAATGATTGGTGTTAGTACATCCAACTTGGCCTTGATGAATGAAGCAAAAGGTATCGGCTGACTGGGTTTGAGATGTTATGTAAAGCACGGGATAACAGGAGAGATTTTACTGCTGTACCAGCCCGCCTGTCATCTTAGTACGTCGTCAACATACTCGAATCTCCCCGTACAGTGTGGGCGCCATCTATCTGATTAATATTTCACTCCTTTTATCCAGGATATGGTATATTTACCATTTTCAACTCAAGCGCTTAGTGAAAATACAGAGAAGGTCAGTTTTCTCAATAAAATACCTCTCCCTATTAATTCTTGAATGAATGACTAGAGCTAAAATCTCTCGTTAGCAAGACAACCACACCAACTTGAGCAGAGAGTGAAGGCACCGGCAACGTAATCACACTTGATATTGGTACTTCAGCTCGATATTCAACAAAATATGAGTTAGGCTTGACACGCATTGGTTGAATGAGAAGTTCGGAGAGGTTGAGAAAGGGCAGATTGAATGGATGAATGGAATGAATATCAGGACCTTCATGTAATCATATGTATAGTCTGCACCATCTTGACTGTTTTCAGTCTGGCCTCCGCATTTTCACAGAAGCCACTGCTGTGATTATTCCCTGTCCAACTTCCAGGACGGTTGGCTGCCTGAGTGCCTGTAGACTGTGGTGATGAAGAGGTAATGAGAGCTGGATGGGTAGTAGTAGGAGCAACACGCAGGCCGCGACTCTCTGTAAGTCTTTGTATGTCCTTCAATATTGCTACTGTGATAAGCATCCAGTTCTTTCAGTGATTTTAACTTGTATAACCCCGAGTTACAACCCACAGCCTGTGGTTTTATTAGTGTCGGTTGTGTACGATAGATGTATTTTGTTGGTCTAAGAATATGAAAAAAGATAGGGAAGAAAATCGACATTCCGAACTAAGATTGGACCCGTGGCGCAATGGTAGCGCAGCAGACTCCAGATCTGAAGGTTGTGCGTTCAATTCGCACCGGGTTCAAGTCAAAAAATCATTTCTTTTTTTTTACCCCCTTTTTCTTCTTTTTTTCCTCACTCATTGTTATATTAATTTCAACACATCATAACTAAAATGAAATATAAAGAGCAGGACAATATTAGCAATACGAAAATCCTGATTTTCTACGAATTGATATCAGCATCATACAGCATATTGAAATTCCGCAGTGGATAATGAGATGGTCAGGCCACGAAAACAGCAGAAAGAACTTGATACTGTTGTGAAAGATCTAGCATGCTAGAGAAGAAGAGAAGAAAAGAAGAAGGAAGACCGAATCGATACCTTTAAATACATCGGGCTCCGCAAATTGGGCGTGGTTGGAAGTTTTAACACGCTCATCCCGAGTCCTTTTCTCGACAACATCCGAATTGTATAACTACTGCTCAGGGGAACGCAGTTACTTGGACAGGTTTTGGAACAACACGAACAGTTTGATTCTCGAAAAGCCCATGCGGATGCAACAAAGGCGCCTTCTAGAGAACATCTGTTTAAGCGGATATTGCTTCGTGTGAATCAGCCCCCGCAGAGACTACGCTTATACAGATGTTCACCGGCATCTATGCGCGTCGGAAAAGGATGGAGACACTGATTGGAGCATTTATGAATCAAGCCTTCAAGATGGATCGGAATGATGTGGAAGTATGTAGGCTGCTACATTCAGGACAAGATGCACACAGAGAATTTTCACATCCATCTGCTAGCTTCATCTCCCTATTGAGTCCACCAGTGCTCCACTCGCGGACGCAGCTGTGGCCTAGAGGCTGTTCCAAACGGGCTGGCTGTAACACGTCCTCGCCGGTTGACGAGTGCTTCATCAGGGGGATTGTCGACACCTCGAGCTTCCTCTGGCTTTACAGGAAATTCCTTTGGCATCACCCAATACTATGCAAGCTCTCAGCAGAGATTGAAAAGCCAACATGCTTGTTCCTTCAATGCCATTACCAAACCGGCATACTACCACGCCGACCCGGATACCCATGCACTGGTCCAATAAGGTAGGTGAAAGGCATGATAGGAATGGTGCTAATCAAAGAGATCAGTAGCAGCAAATGGAGAGCCAACGGTATCGAGGTTCGATACATGACCTGCAATTTCCATGGACAAGATTAGAAAACCAGACTTGATAGTATGTATGTACTTCAAGTTAGGTCAGAGCAACACGCCCGGATCGGCCTTGAGCAGACGGTCGAAGACGATGGTATATACATGCGTACGGAGTGGATTCCGTACGTGTAGTACATACATCTTTGATGAACCGGCAATATATGCGTGTTCACTGCACCTCAGCATTAGGTTCACTAAGACCCAATGCCTGTGGCCTTACACTCCAGTTCCCACAAACCAATTTTCAACGTCCAAAAATTAGTATCAATCAGGAGTCCGATCCATGTGCATAACCCAGGAAGCATTCGGCCGGAAAAGGACCTGAGATTTGACTGTTGGAATCAATTAGCCAGATCGAATTCCGCCATAGCTGCGTATTTGTATTAGTAGCCTTCTTTGCTGTTGAAAGTGAAAGGCTTTGCAGAAACTGCTCCGAGTTCTCGTCGCCGAAATCTTGAAGCCTTGTTGAAAAATATATGAAGCATGAGGCCAAGAAAAATCTTAAAAGGGCACCGTGGCGGAGTGGTTATCGCGTCAGACTTGAATTACATTCTTGGTTATCTGATTCCTTCGGGAGCGCCGGTTCGAATCCGGTCGGTGTCGTTTTATGCTGTTTTTGCATCAGTCTTTTTAAGTCATCACTGGCTCAAGAATGATCTGCTACTGGACCTGCGAAATCGAGGCCTTTTATGGATAACACATAATACAAAGTACTGTACATCTGCTTTTTTTTTTAATCCACAGCCAATGTTTATATGGATTTATACGTTCAGCGAGATATGTACTGCGCCAAGAGGGAGCCACTATCAGCTATTTGTTCGAGCTGCTGGAAGTTAGGCATTTCATACAGCAGTCACGCATTTTCTAGTCACTTCACTGACTCTGAGAAAACCTATTTAACAATGTCTGTCACTGTAAGTTTGACATCTTCAGATGAGGCCTTAATTGAAGCTCATTTCCCGAGTCTGATGCTAATTCGAAACCACGCAGCTCCATACAACTCATGGTGATCTCAAGGTGGAGATATTCTGCGAAGCCGTCCCAAAGACTGCTGAGGTATGATATCTCTGTGGCTTTCATCATGACAATTAGACGCCAACCCACTCACTCTGAACTTATAACTCCAGAATTTCCTCGCCCTTTGTGCGTCAGGCGCTTACAACAACACTCCCTTCCACCGCCTGATTCCGTCCTTCATGATTCAAGGCGGCGACATATCTCTCACCCTACCTCCATCCGATTCCGAACCACTTCCCGAGCAACCGTCTCTGCCATTTGAGGTCCCTAAGGGCGGAGCATCAATCTATCACCCAGAACCCCTCGAACAAGAAATCCACCTACCATCTCTGCGGCACAACGCGCGTGGAATTCTCAGCATGGCAAGCAAATCCGTAAAAAAGGGCACCACCAGTTCGGAAACAAATGGCAGTCAGTTTTTTATTACTTTTACCGCTGCGGCTCATTTAGACGGGAAAAGTACAGTTTTCGGAAAGGTTCTGGGTTTGGGTGCGAAATCAGAGGAGGGAGAGGAAGAGGATACCTTGTCGAGGTTGGAGAATGCAAAAGTGAAAATTGACAAGAAGGGAAGGGTCGTGCAACCGGGAGGTGTGGAGAAGAAGAAGAAGGAAAAGGTGGAAGCGGAGGGAGACGAAGAATGGGAGAGAATTGGGATCAAAAGCGTTACGATCCATGCAAATCCTTTTGCAGGGTGAGCAGCTATGAAGCCCCAGCTGGCGCCATTTGCGAAATACGGTCCCTTGACTGCAATGCTCGAGATCGAAATAACCGTTCTTCCCGATTTATTTGGACGAAGCTTCCCGATATTAAGGGCCTTCGTAAATATACTGCCAACGGTTCCTTCCCGAGGATGGCTTGCCGGATTCCGCTTTCACAGAACGACGTTATGAGGGTTTATGCCAGTGTTTTCCTGTGCAATTGGACTTTCCCTCCTCGCATGTGGCTCACCTTTCCGATACCTGGTTTGAAGCCTCACTAACTGAAACAACACCGTGAGCCCTTTTGAAGATTAAAGATGGTCCTGGAAGCAAAGCGGGGCATTGGAATTCAGGCTTCCGCGGCAGTACTGGTACAGTGCAAGAGCATAGGCGGTTATAAGAGCTCCCCTCAGGTAGTTCTTCTTATAAAATCATGTCAGGCAGCATTGATTTTAAAGGTTGACAAGCCAAACTCTGCCGCCTCTAGGCGCTCACGACCAGGAACGGAAAAGGTCGCCTAATAAATTAAGATACTTTCTATAATTTTAATATGAATGGCTCCATCGTACGGCGGGTCGGCCATTTCGCTTCATTAATGTATATACAAATAGACAATACTGGTCAGGAGGACGCTGGGCACTGGCAGTCTTAGGAATCACATCGCCGTTATGAATTTTTGTCGGTGGCGGCGGCATCTTCTTCATATCCCTCAGTCTTCATGTCTTTCAATCCCAAGTCATCTTCCTCCTCGTCTGTTCGAGTGTAATCTTCGATTTGCAGCTGAGGATCGGTATTTGGAGCGTGCAGGTCCTGAACGTAGCTGTTGGCTAGAGGGTCTTCGAGCCGTACCGTAAATTTCAAATCGCCTTTGATAGCAGCATCGAGCCGGCTGAAGAATCGGTCCCAAGTGGCCTTCTCTTCCGCAGCCATTGAGTCACCAGGAGCAAGATCTTCATCGCCGATATCAAAGATCTGGGAATGGAGCTGATCGCGGACCTGAGTTAAAAGACCCTCGACCGTGGTAAATCTGCCGCCAAGTGTGCCAGGTTGCACGGAAAGGTCTAACTCTTCGCTCGCAACGGCACAGGTATCTGACTTAAGGATATCGCGGGAAAGATCTTCCACGTTTTCAACTTTGAGGGTGATTCGTCGGCCTTTCTCTGGGATAGCACCACCAGTCCTCACTTCATTTGTGCGATAACCGCAATAATCACACACCGTACTCCAAATGAAAACTTCCCTGAAATGCGGGATATCCACCTTTTGCATATTGACCATGCATACTTTCGTGCAACCCGGACACTCGGCGGGGAGACTGTATACCTTGCCGTCTATAATATCAAGATCCTCTGGATCGCCAGCACTCTCCACCATATTGCCAGTCTCTTTCGGTTGTTCCATATCTTCGCCTCCTCCAATACCAAGTTCTTCGTTCTGTTCGGGGGTTCGAGGGTAGTCCTTGCGTCTATATTTGTTTCCTTCATCATGCGGTGCAGGGGCAATCCAGGAGTTACCCGACGGATCATTAAGAGATATCGTAAACGGAAAGGCTTCACGATTGATTATCTTCTTCAGTCTTAGTATCACAGTTTCTAATGAGTCATAGAGTTCGGGGTCGGCAGCCTTTCTGGCGGGTTGATCGCTTTCAAGCTGCTCGAGAATCCTCAACAATATTCCTTCCACATTTGTAAGTTGACCTTCGCCCTTTGGCATTTCTATTCCCAGAGTCTCCAAACGGAAGATTGCTGAATCGCTTTTGACGACTTGTCTTTCGAAATCTTGAGGGCTTTCGACTTCTAGAGTATACATGGCGCCCTGTTCTTGGATCTGGCCGGCAGCTTTGATAGAATTATTCTTGAAAAAACAATGAGGGCATTCAAATGATTCTAAAAGGACGTCTCGGAAGAAAGGGATGCGGAGTAAGAGGATTCTGGTGATGCCCTAGAATCCAAGTCAGTACCAACCTGGCGCGGCAATCGGTTTGGACAAGCTCGCTACTTACGTTCTTGTGGCAGTTCATACACAGACTCTCTAGCTGCATAAGTCCGGTATCGTCTTCATTTTCGTTCTCTCCTTCCTGGTCCGCAGCTTTTTCTGCGGGAATTCCTTCCACCTTAGCGGTAAGATGCAGCCCCGAGTCTTCTTGCAGCGACACAGATGGTTCAACAAGGGCCGCCTCATCGCTGCCTGCCATTATTCTGACTTTTCAGCGTAAGCACTGATGCGTTCGAGTAGGAGTGTAATGAACGAATTGTAGTATGTTGGGAATGCCTTTAGCAGGCTTCGTTGCGCCAAAAACTGGAACTGTTTGGAAACAGAGCAATTTGGATGTGTAAAAGAAAACGATCCACGTCGAGTCATTAATGTAGCAAACAGCTTCTTCTCTTGCAATTCAAAGATCGATCATCGATTTCATTTTCGAGCTTCAAATATAAAAAAAAAAAATAAACGTTTTCTGCCCTTGTTCATCCCCGCACTAGACTGAATTAAGCTTAGTTTCAAGACGAAGCCCCGCGCTAATCCTATTCTAGGTAGCAGCAGGACAAACATATTCTCCGTTCTCCATTTGGAAATCAGGGCTTAGGGCTGCAAAAAGTCGAGTAGATCGAGAGATGTCGGCGGCGAGGTCTGCGAAGGCTGCTGCTTGCTTGCTGCTAGAGCTGCTAATAGACCCTGTTGCTTCCGAGCTTTGGCCCTCTTCTTACTGCTCGCATTGTCCGAGCTACCTTTCATCTTCGTGGGGTCAACCTCGTTGACTCTCGAGGCTCTTGCATCAAGTTCGCTTCCAGCTCGTAGAGAGTCCGACGCTGAGCTAGTCAGGCTTGATTTCTTTGGTTGCGAAAGGCGTGGCTGTTTTTTAAACGGCTGGATAGTCTGTCGATGACACCGTAGGCAGTTGTAGACGACGCTTGACTCTTGATCAGACAGCTTTCGAAGCGGTGATGGCCCACGCCTTGCACGTTTTTGGACCCTCGACTTTGTAGAAACTGTGCAGGTCAAAGCCGGAAGCCTAATAGTTCCACACGAAGGACAGAATTCCCTTTGCTGGTTGATTGATATGGGCTTTGATTGCTCGTGCAGAATGCGGTTGTGGACTGCCAGTAGATGTGCTGATGTCGATGGGCTGTCGGAACTCAGCATCAATGCGGATTTTTTCAGGAAATTTAGCTGGAGAGGAACTCCAGTGCGACTCATGTTCCCTTCAGTCTGTTTAAACAAGTGGCAATCAGCAAATTAAAAGTACTCAGTATGGCGTCAGGGTAGTATATACAATAAGCATGGGCAAGGTCAACTTTTAACCAAGGAGAAGTGGAACTACATAGCATCCTCTCTTCTCTCAAGGTTTCCTCACATTTTCACGGCGACATCATCATTGTGAACACTTTATAAACAACTCCTTTGAGATTTTCACTTGATCTCCTTCATGTGTTTTCTTCCATTCTCTTTTCTGCAAACATCATCTCTGTACTCACTTTGACCCAAGTTCCTGCTGAGACCATTTGCAAAGCTTACAAGCTTTTCGTTCAGTAGCCATATTATGGCATTACAGCTTTCTACGCGGTTAGGTCTTCGCCTAGCTGTAGAGGGATGTGTGAGTTGCTGTTTTCTTCCTTTCTGATGACCTGTTGTCAAGAATCCTGCAATGGTTATCACTGGAAGAGCAATATCTACATCAGGATAGAGACTGACATTCTCAGGGGCATGGGAAACTCCACGATATTTATGCACAGGTTCAAAAAGCCGCAGAGGTCAAGGGCTGGAATGGCGTTGATCTGCTCATTATTGGAGGAGATTTTCAAGTGAGACAAATATGTTCTTCAGAAAATGTTCTTGTCTTCTAACTGACATCGGTTCTAGGCTGTCAGGAACTCCCATGATATGGCCTGT